ATATATATATATATATATATATATATGTATATATACATGTGTTAAATAATTCATTTATACAGGATCAACTGAAGAATTCCAGTATAATTTTCTTTCAGTTTCAGCTGGTTTTTTTCTTATCAGTTAGGATTTGAGGGAAATGTTTATTGACAGCTATTAAAATGAGTAGCTTTACAAAGGGAGCATCTTCTGTGTCTGTATGAGATCTGTCTATAATTCTTATAACTTTTATTTTCTGATTTCTTTGTGGTAGGGATTATAATTCTGAAAACTGCCATCTTGAAAACTGCAATAATTGCACTTCTAGGTGCTCTTACACATTTCATTACGGAGGGCAGTACATGTTGAGGTTGTGTATACAATGGCATAATAGTCTTAAAAAACTAATGGCAATAGTTCAATATGAGTAGTGTTAGAAATAAATTGTGTATTATTATATGTTAATTTGTTTCAACTTTAATTCTTTACATAGGTTAATGCATGGATCAGTAAAGCACAGACTGCACTGGGAGTGCCCTCTTGAAACAGTTTCTTTTGATCCTCTTCTTGTAACTCTAGCAGAGGTAAACTGTCTTCTTGGGAAAATAAGCATACAGTATTTATTCCATGTAGTGCTGAAATGTTATGTGAATGTAGTCAGCTACATTTTTACATCAGCTTCTGTTATTTAACTGCTATTGTAGTTGGACTTCATGATTTATGATTTATTCTTTGAAACAAGGTGTAGTCAACTGAATGGGCTGTGGCAGTCGCCAGGATCCAAGGCCCCTTGGTCCTTGGGAAACCATGGCAACAAATGTCTTGAAGATAAGAGAGAAGAACAGGTTAGACCAAATGAGGAGGAAACAAGACATGCCACATGTCCATTGGTCAGAGATAACTGTAGTAGCCCTAAGGCATGGGAAAAGCTTTAAGAAGGGTGTGCTCCTTGCAACAAAGGCCATTTTGCCTCACCATATTGGTGTCATGAAAAGCATGCAAAACTGACTGGGGCTGTCAGAACACTTTCACAAGGGGACTTCAGTCAGGGTCACCAAAACAAAGGTGACAACAAGGGATGTGTAAAAATGTCTCAGAGCTACATGTTCCTAAATAATGCCAGTCTACTTCTTCATGATTTAATTAAAATAATTCTAGGAGGAACTAAGGTACTGTCAGTCTCCAAACCTAATTTCAAACACAAAGTTAAATAAGAAAGTAAAAGCAAGCCCATTCCTTTCTGACCTAAGCATTTATCTGAGATATGGACACTCTGAGGAGAAAAAAAGTAGGATTTCAATTCTCTCAAACACACACAAAGTGTTCTTCTTTTTTTGATCATATGTTTTTCCAGTACACACCTTTCACATACATTAGTCTGGATGTCCAAAAAAGTCATCCAGGGACTGTGAAAACATGACTCTTGTAGATAAGACCAATTGAATAGTCACCATATCTACATAGGACTAAATTCACTGTCTGGATTTGCTTGGGACTAAGAAAGAGTAGATATGCTAGAGAGCACACAGGAGAGCTGTTGATTCTTTGTCTTGTATCTTTTGGAAGCATTGAAATTCACAGTTCAGTCGTCAGTTTAGCTGAATTCCAGTTCACTTTCAGTCAAAATACATTGTTGTCTTTTGTGTGACTTTGCAGTGATCTTTATGCATAAAATGGCTGAGCTGTCATAGGCTGTTTCTACTTAATTGGAGGTCCTGACAGCGTTCGCTGTGTAAAAAGAAGGGCCCACCTCCAAGCATCAACTGAAATCTATTGTGGGTACTATGAAGAGTAATTTAAAACCAGTGGAGCTATGTTAGATTTTTCTCTTACTTGTTTTCTGGTCATTGAAAAGACAGCTGGTGGGTTTCTGTGCTCTTTTTTCACTGCAAATGTTTCACTGTTTTTCTACCACTAAATACGAGGGGGGGTAAAAAAAAATTCTTTACGTGAAAGAGGCACAGTAACTTTTGCTTAAAAGTCCTTTTTACTTAGATAGAAGAGATAAAAAGCAGTTGTTCCTTTCTGACCACTGTAGTCCACAGACATTCCTCTGTACTATATTGTACTCCAGAGAGTTTTGCTTGTTTGTGTAGGTCATTGAAGGATGGTTTTTCCTCTTTTGACCACATGCTGCAATCTCTAAAACAAATATATGTACTTCAGCAACAGATGTATCCTTTTTCTTGGAGTCACCAGAGTCAAGTGTTGTGGAACTAGATGCTAGTGATGGGACTAGAGGGTATGGCCTCAAGTTGTGCCAGGAGGATTCAGGCTGGACAAGGATGTACAGCTTTCTCTAAAGAGTGGTCAGGTGCTGGAGTGGGGTTCCACCAGGGAGGTGGTGGAGTCACTGGTGGTGGAGGTGTTAAAGGTATGTTTAGATGTTGTACTGAGGGACATGGCTTAGTGAGAACTAGTGGTGATAGGTGGATGATTGGACTGGGTGATCTTGTAAGTCTTTTCCAACCTTGGTGATTCTATGATTCTAATATGCATTTCAGTTACATTTTAAGAACTGTTAACACCTGAAGAGGAGGAATGCTTTGATATTTCCTTCTTTCATTGTAGTTGTCCATAACCCTAGCTTATGTAAAGATAAACGCAAAGAAAAGTAGTGTTTTAAATATTAAGAATGGATGACACTGTTATGATTTCTTTCATCAGAAACCTATGAAGAAATGGAAATCAAAATTTTTTTTATGCTTGTGTAGTATTACCTAAACCATCTTTGTCATCACATTCCAACAGCTTTATGTAGATGCTTTTCTGGCTCAGGCAGTGAGGTTGTCTCTTCCAAGATGCTTTTACCTCCTGTTATCACACAATCACAAAATGTTTGAGGTGGGAGGGGACCAATGGATCCATCTGTCCAACTGCTGCTCAAGCAGGGGCACTGAGAGCAAGTTGTTCCAGTGTTGCATCATCTATACAGTGAAGTGCTTCTACTGGTTTTCAAATAGAACCTCTTCTGTTCCAGTTTCTGCCTACTGCCTCTTACCCTGGCACTTGGTACCTGTGTACATTGAAAGTAGTGTGGCTCTGTCTTCTTTTCCTCTGATGTTATATTTAATGTTAACACAGAGTGAATGTTTGACGCATACTATTAACTGTAGCTAGAGTCACTTTGGGTCTTCTAAGAATCACTTAAGACACACATCTCCAACTCTTGGGCCCCATGCGGCCCAGCACAGCTTGCACTGTGGCCAGCCTCTGCCCCGTGCCATCACAGCAGTGGCTCTGCCCCATCTGTTGCCATCTGTCAAGCATCAAAAAAGTGTAAGGGAATATTAGCTTAGTGGGAAGGTCCAGTTTCTACTGCCTTACCACCAACATCCACCTCTGACATTGTGGGCCAGCATAATAAGATAGGAGATATTTCTTTCAGAGCAGGCCTTGTAATATATTTACTGAGAGATTTTGGACTTACCTTCTCCTTCAAGCATTCTGAGCTATTTGGACTGACTTTGTTTTGTCTACATATGGATTTGGGAAGAAATATGGGCACATTTAACATTATTGAAACTTTCTCAACATTATTAAAGGCTAGAAACATAAACTTTAATATAGCATAGTATCTATGTGTAAAAGCTCAGAGGCTAATAGCAGGAGATTGCATCTAAATCTGAAGCATATTCCGTGTACTCTAGATTATCATTGACAGTGCGATAGATAATCAGTTTTAAACCTTTTGTTGATCTTATTTTTTATAGTTACCTATATTGTGCTTCTTAAATCATCAGCATAGTTCGGCATAGAACTGTCACAACTGTACACTCATGCTTGCTACTCAGGCTTCAAATAGCTCTTGGAGATGGCTCTTCACAGAAGTGAGAACCTGCTGGATAGCAGGTTCCATATAATTTCCATATAATATAAATGCTAATTCTTTAGGACTTTATGTTAATAGTATACTATAGTATATAGGTACTGCTATATTATTTTGTATATGTGTGTTGTGAGTACTAGTTTGTATTCAGCAGTATAAAGCAGTGGCTGTTTTGAACCTCTGTGCTCATCAAAAAGCTAGATTTTTTTTATCTGTTACATGAGTTAACCCTTTAAGTTGAGCTGGATGTGTTTGCACTTTTAGATTCATACTTGAGAATCACGGAATTAGTCAGACTTTCTTACAGGTGGAAAATTCAGCTAAGGTATTATTAGGGGTCTGATGATTTACTGACAGTTACTTAGTTGCAGCAGTGATTTAATATTCATTATATATTCCTTGTTAAGCTATACATTGGCACTTAGGACAAGGAAGGGAAGTGGTCTGAAATGTCAGTTTATAGGTAAGTATATCTTGCTCAGATAAGGGTAAAAATGAATACTTGTTCTGAAGGTTATCCACCAACTTCAACTATGTGATTATTATTTTTAAGAAATCTAAATACTGACCATGAATCCATAGGGATTTCCTTTCCCTGAGGTACAGGGGTACAAAAACTACAAGGCACTTTCTAGCCCTTAAGGAAGTGGAGCTAGATAACTACTTCACGTGCTTAGTGAAAGTTGCCTTTAGTGTGCTATGAAAAAAAGGAACCATTGCATTTTACAATATAATTTGTTTAAGTTGCAAATAAAATTTCAAAACCAGCTGAACTAGCCAAAATTTCTATATATATGGAAGAGCAACATGAAGATCTTGTGTGTGTTGATGATCCTTGAGGTCCCTTTCAGCCCAGAAAGACTGTCTTTCTAATGAAGACAGTCAAGAATACTGCCACTTCTAATTCTTTAGTCAAAGCATTTTGGAAGAGCTAGGTAGTTGTACCTAATCAGGGCAACGAAACTGGTGAGGGGTCTGGAGCACAAGTCTTACGAGGAGTGGCTGAGGGAGCTGGGATTGTTCAGTCTGGAGAAGAGGAGGCTCAGGGGAGACCTCATTGCACTCTATAACCTCCTGAAGGGAGGTTGTGGTGAAGAGGGATTTGGCCTCTTCTCCCAGGCAATGAGCAGGACACGGGGTAATGGCCACAAGTTGAATCAGAGGAGGTTTTGATTAGACATACGGAAGAACTTTTTCTCTCAGGGAGTGGTCAGGCACTGGAATGGCTGCCCAGAGAGGTGGTGGAGTCGCCGTCCCTGGCAGTGTTCAAGAGGCATCTGAATGACGTGCTGTGTGATGTGGTTTAGTGCTTGTGGTGGCAGTGGTGATGAGGAGACGGTTGGACTGGATGATCTTAGAGGTCATTGCGATTCTATGATTCTGTGATTCTATGATTGAGCTATTGTCCACATACAAGACTGCACTGAACAAAATACTTTGATTCATTTGTGAGTTTGGAGGTTCTTGTATAAACAACTGATTATATTTTGGGTGTATAAAACCCACCTCTTAAATTAATAGTGCCCTTGCTAATAGATTGAATTAATACAGTGAAAATAGGATTCTTTAAATAAGTTAAAGAAAATAAACACTGTTTATAATGTTCACACTCCTATATTTCATCAGCATCATTTATAGCCAAATATGTTTCTGGAGTCTTAACAGAAGTTGAATATAGTGCGTTCTGTAGAGCGGGCTTTTATTTTCATAGAATCCTAGAATGGCCTGTGTTGAAAAGAACCTCAAAGATCATCTAGTCTCAAAGCCCCTGCCATGGGTAGGATTGCCAGTCAGTAGACCAGGCTGTTCAGTGCCACATCCAGCCTGGCCTTGAATGCCTCCAGAGCATTCAATTCCTTTGAAAGATTAAACAAGCTGTCAATACCTAAAGTAGCTTGCAGCTCCTGTAAAGGAAACAAGAGAGACTTCCACCATACAACTTTAATCTTTGAGTTCTGCTGTTTAGGTCATCATGAATATTTGTACCATTCACCAGTTTTTGCAATTGCTGGGGGTGCTATCTTTCCTTCTATTGTTTACCTTCTATTTAATTTTCCCTCATGGTATGGAAGTTATTTACAAATATAACCTAATCTTCTGTTGATGGCCTTGATGAAAAATTCCTCTGGGTAGATAGATTAAAGATAATGAAGTACAAATAGTGATTAAAATATCAACATTCATAACGTAGGTTTTAATATTCACTGTTTCGAAAGAAAAATAAGTATTTTGTGATCACAGTTGTACTCAGTGGATCCACATGGTGGTGTTAGTGTATTTTATGTTTTGAATTGATGTAGGAGAATCTAAACACTGTCCTTCCATTATGTGGAATTTTTAAAATGATGGTTTGTTTAAAAGAATATCTTTTAAGAGAATATGTTTTACATTTGCACCAGGGTCTGAGAGAGACAAAGCATCCCTATACATTTGTTTCAAAGGAGGGTTTTAAAGAATTACTTCTGGCTGAAGGTGCTACTGAAAAAGCCATTCCCCTGTTGCCTCGTCTAGTTCCTGTGTTAAAGGCTGCATTGGTATGTCTTATTCTTCTTGCAGAGATTTTCATAGATGCTTTTTTTATTTTATTTTTTTTTAGAATTAGAAGAATTATTTTTGTCTGTTCTTCCAGTCATTGTTATTAATTTGATAATGGGAGCAGTAGAGATGACAAAGCACTATAGTAGTAGGTAAGTGCGTGATGGTTGCTGGCAGATGACAAAGCTGTAGTTGGCAGGGCTAAATTCATTGAGCCAGAAAGTCATTGGTTCCTGTGTTCCTCTAACAAAGATTATTATTATTATGAATTAATTAAGAATTAGTCTCAGTTTGTTACATTTTCAACTAAAATGTTGGTTCCCAATTTTGATATATCCACATTTTTAAAAAGTTCTTCCTAATAAGCTGTGCAGCGCTGTACGTAAGATACATTTCTAAATTGAAATATTAGATATAGTTTTGCTTGCAGAATGTATTTATTTGCATATCGAGCATAAATTAGCAGCTTCCTTTTTTGTTTTTTTTTTAATTACGTGCAATAATTTCGCAGACAAATTGTGGAGGCTTTCGTTTTCTACTTTCTAAAAAAAAAAAACACAACCTCTGTGTTTAATTATTACATCTAGACAATATTCAGTTGTATTATATTTCTGCACTGTTTATAACATTATAAAAATAAGTGGCTTTCCAGTAGTTTTAGTTTATTAAAAGTACAATAACAAAAATGCAATCATAAAATAGAGATTGTGTTTTTGAAGAGTTTGTGCACTTGTCTGAATATTTGACAGGATTTGTTTTCCCTCCCTCAAAGGCCCATTCAGATGATGAAGTATTTGAAAGGGGATTAGATGCTTTAGTTCAACTGAGTGCTGTTGTTGGCCCATCTCTTAACGACCATCTTAAGCATCTGCTTACAAATGTAAGTTTTAATGTTGTAATAAGAGATTATATGTATTTATGGGGTACTTTTGTTGAGATGTTTACTGTAATATCTGCATAGATAACACTGGAGGACTCAGCAGTTCCATTAAATGCATTAGTTCATATATTTCTCTGTGCAAGTCCATCATTCTTTAAGAGTCTAGTGACTTCAAAAGTTCTAACTGTGCAAAACCTGTTGTTAATGTTGAGATTTTAATTATTGAATTAATATTTCATTTCATCATTAATATTAATTAATAATTGAATTGTTTCCTGTTTAAAAACAGATTCAACTTTTTGAGCCTGAGGTGAAATAGATGCTATGTTTTGAAACAATATTTATGTTTATTGCTGAGTTTTGCACTTCAAATGTGAACGTTTTCAAAAATCTGTAAAAGTGCCAATAAATTATCACAGGAGAATATTTCTACTTCTTTCAGATGGCAATTCTGCACATGGAAGTTTTGTTCAGTAAACTTCAAGTTGAATTGGGGAATGTATTTTTATACTGAATCCTTTTGTAGACTTCCTCTGTAGACTTCCCTCCTCTATCAGACAGACATGGTTTAACGTAGCTTTCTTCCAAATAGAATTTTTACAGCAAATTAAAAGAAAGAGAGAATCTGCAATATTTTTTTGGAGTATTTTCACTATAGTAAATCCCTTTTGGTACACATGAAAAGCATGTTAACTTTTCATGTGGATAGCACTTCAAGAATGACTTTGTATTGATTCCTCTTCCAAATTTGTTTGCTAAAAGAAAAAATTTTAAACTGTTTGGCTAATGGATGAGAAACTTCAATTCAAAGAAAGCTCAACAGTTAACTTTTCACTCCTTCTGCCTTGACTGAGATCCATACTTTGACATCAGCTACAAGTTTTAAAATGATGTTTCTTTTGGCTCTCATTTCCCAAAGAAAAGTGAATGGGTTAAAGACCTCTTTATTTTACTTTTCCAATAGCTTTCAAGGAGATTAATGGACAAGAAATTTAGAGAAAAGATCACTGTTGCTTTACAAAAGTTGGAGCAATATGGTGGAAAGGTGAGTTGACCAGACAGTACTGTGTATACTGTACACTTGAATGCATCTTTGCCAAGACAACTTCCGTATCTGGCTATCAGATTAATAACCCAGTTCAGAGAAGCACTTATTTTAACATCACAGCTTTTAATATTGTATAAAACAGGACTTTTTTAAAATTAAACTGTGGCAATTCTAGTCCACTGTAAACATAGTTGTTTCAGTCCTTTTGAGGTATTAAGTGATGATAGAAATGACCTTAAGTCTACACTGCATGAAGCATATTTTGCTAGTTAGCGTCTGTTGTTTCCCATTTTTTATTTCTCTCTTTTATTTGTCTTCATCATTATTTTAATCTCAGAGCAGGAAACACAGGAGAGTGTTCCAGTAAAATATTCCAGGGGACTGATAGCTACATCAGAAACTGAACGGCCATACTCAAATAGTGCATCAATCCACATTCGAAAAACTCTTTTGTGGAGCCAGCATCCATCCATGTGGATCCCTACCAATGTTATTTGCTTGGAAGATTTTATTCTTCTTGGTGGGAAGTTTATGCATCCTTAGTAGTTAAATAAGTCACTCTCTGTTCTTTCTTTTGAACTCTTCACTTTTCTGGAAAGTCTTTTTCCAGGGTTTAGAACGGGTGTGGTGTGGGTTAATATTCAGGATGCTTTATATGAATCCTTAGTCCAAATTAGGCACCGTAGCATTTACGAAGTAGATTTTCACACTGAGTTAAGCATAAGGGCTTCTTGAACAGACCATAGAGTAGGGTAGATACCCGTGAAGAGTGATCCATGTATTCACCAAATGTTAAATGCAAATTGCTCCTGGCCCCTTTTGACACCTGACTCAGGCTAAATATTTGCCTTCCTTCAGTGCACCCGGGATGAAGGCTGTATGTTCCTTTTTCTGAGCCCAAGTGCTTTCCTCAGCACTCTTAGCCCTTGCTAAAAGAAACAATTTGCTGTTATTGATGATGCCTGCCCATTCCCTAATAGCTTAGTACTTAGGTCACTTACTAAGAAAATCAGATGCTCACATTTTAGCCCATCTTGATTAACTCAGAGGTTAAGATCCTCAGTTGCTACACATTTTAAAAAAAATCAAAAACTTAAATATTAAAGTACAGAAAAGTATTATACTGTTAAACATTCTGTTCACAACTTTTTTTTTTTCACAATTCATTGTTCATCGAGAAGGAGAAGAAAAAGTGAGAAAACATTGGCTTGGATGTTCATCTAGAATTGAAATTATTTGTTCTAATGACCCCACGAGCAGTTGCATGTATGATATTGAGTGACTGTTGATAAAGAACAGAAATAATGTCGAGGGTAAGGACCCTAAATGTAGGTCTTACCATTTCTGAGCCTTTTTTTTCTTAATAAGCAACCGTAAAATCAATAGGCAGCCACTCTTTTTTAGGGATACTCATATTCATTTAAGGGTGATAGGAGTGTTCATATTGCAGACTGTATGATCATCACAGACCAGCGTGAAAGTTCCTGATTTGTGTTCAGTGAGATAAGAGGAGGAAAATTGCACTTCGTTTTGATGTTTTGAGAATTTAAGTCTAGATAATAGAGCTGATCCAATAAATCATTAAGCCACCTCTAATTATTATCTCTGTCCAGTAATTGTCTATTGCCAATCAGATTACTGTGTGGTCTTTCTGCACATTTTTTAAAATTCTTAGAGAGAAAAAGACAAAAAAGCTGGAAAGATGCACCTAAGTTGTGATCATAGTCAATGACATTACATAGTACAGCTAATGAATCTATCAGCTATTAGAAAAATGAGTTACAATGTATATGATCAGTACTTTTATTGGAAATCTCTTCCAGAATATCACTCTTCTTTGTTAGTTATCACAATGCTGCTGTTTTATCAGTGTACTATTTTCAACTCTTTTGAAAGTAAATTTCTTCGTAAATAATGCATTTTAATTTTCTACCATTTTGTTTCATAGCGGTAAAGACAACTAAAAGTTATGAATTATACAGTTTATAGACATGATGTGAATACTCTCAAATGTAGTGCTAGTGCACCTTACTTTGTTTAAATGCATTATATTTTCATCACCAGGCAACGGTGACTGTCATCAAATCTAAAATTCCAACCTATTGTTCTGTATTCCCCTGAACAAAAAATCCATAGTGATTCGTGAGTTCAAGTCTGAAGATAAACTGCCTGTGAACATCACTTTGTGGTATGTTATATTCTCTTAAATTAATCACAGTTCTTTTTCAGTATAATGGAGAGTGGGGAAAGTCCCATAAGTTTGTGAACATATGATTATGAACAACTCTATTAATTCTCTATTGGCTGCTATTTATGTATGCATTATGCTTACAAAGACACTGGATATTATTTCAAAAGCAGAGTAAATATAAATTTATATTTTGTTATAAATTACAATTTCCATTAATAGATCTGAATAATATGTTTTGTATATTTGTGGAACACAAAATAATTTGGCTTCAATTACTTAAATGGAAATTAACTTTGTGTTAAATTACATACGCTTTTGAAACATTTAACTTATTCTGTGCCATAGGCACACGTGGATGCTGTTCTGGTTCACCAGGACTTAGTGGATTAGACACAGAATTGTAAGAGCCCACCTAGACATTCTGAGAGTCAGCTTTTGAAGGTATGAAGATGAACATACCATACACGTAGCGAACAGGGAACGATCAGGGTCTGCCCAGCACATTGTTGTCAGAAGCCGGAGCAGCATTTGTCCATTATTGTAATTGAGTTTGATTGTAAAATGTCGTTCAGCGGGTCTTGTTAAATAATATTTGATCATGTGAAAACGATTTCAGAATATTAAGAAGATTATTGCTGGCTGACTACATTAAATTTAATTCAGAACAGTTCTAAGTCAATATATATGTATTTAAGCTTTTTAAAATAAGTAAGTTTTGTTGGCAGAAATCTTTTATCTGAAGAAATAACTACTTCTTTAACAACACAAAAAAAAATGCTCATGCTGTTTGTTTTTCTTTGTTTACTTTATTTCTTATATTATTTTTTTACAAAATGTGCACACTTAGTTTACACAAACACTCTACAGCAAATTTCAGGTGTACATGTATTGTACTACTCTTATCCTACACTGGTGATAGCAGAGCAGCCTCAGCATGCCTCTAACATCCCACCTCTACACCAGAATAGATACCTGATTTTTTTCTTGCAAAAGAATGTTTACAACATTCTTTCTACATCATTAATCCCATTTCATGTTTTCTGCAGCAATGTCACAATGAAGATCAGCCTATCTCTGAAAGCATTTTACCTATTGGGATGTATTGGCATGAAACTCTGGACAATATATCTTAAAAATTACATGTATTGGAAGGGGCATAAGTATATTTTAGGTACATATATTTTTATCTAGGTTCATATTTAGGTTTCTCGAATCTCAATGAAGAAATTATCCTAAAAAGTTTAATGCAGTTATCACATGTATATAATATTGTATAGTTGAAGCTTCATTGTTTCATCCTGAATCTTAAAGATACTACAAAAATGCTGACACAGATGTTAGTTCGTCTAGTAGTCATTAGTAGATGTTACTGCCTAGTGATATTTATTCTGTGCACTGAAAAGGGATGAAAATTTTAAAGCAACTTCTTTTTTTTTTTTTACTTTATTAAAGGCAACAAGACACTCATGAAAACAGTGTTAGGAGCTAGTTAAGTTTTCTTCATTAAAAAATTCAAATTCAGAAGATTCTTAATTTAGAAGTACAGTAGGTAGAATATCTTGATGTTTTTGTCATGATCAATTAAATGGAGATTTACTAGATAAGCATGCTTGATAGAAGCTTACCAGTATTTGTTAGGGAACAGAACTACTGAAGCAGTCATAATTTCAATGTGTTCATTGTTTAACACTTCTTCCTCTCACGTTACCTATTTTACTAGGTTTGGGAGGTGTTTCTGAAGAGGACAGAAGCACGTCAAATGTGAAAGGCAATTGCTGCAAGCTGTGCACTGGACATCAGTGATAGCACTTTAACTAGAAGTATTAATTAAAAATATGAGGACTACACCATACAAACATGAAAAGAAAATACATGGTAATGTCTCTGTGTAAATTAGAAGCTGAGACTTAATAAGTATGCTCAAACACCCCAAGCTGAATCCAGTACTAATATGTAGCAAAACTAAGTATTTAATTTCCTTGTTTGATTAAAACTATATTATCTAAGGTTTGGAATGATAATAAAAACGCATGTCAGGTTCTGTTTTGAGGGGTCTGAAATAAAACACTGACTTTTCAGAACAATCTTGCTAAGCAGCCACTGCTGAAGTACTAAAATGTGTAATTTTGAAAGATTTAGGGAGAAAACTTTAATTAAAAAAAAAAAAAAAGACTTATTTGCATATTGCATGTCTCAGTATAAAGCTGAGTAACTTTATTTATGGTAAAGTGGGAAACCCATGTTTTAGATTATGTTGCAGAATTGCTTATATTTGTCCATTAGTAGTTGACCTAATGCCTTCATTAAATCACATTTTCAAAGAGCTGCATGGACCGCATTATATTCTCATCCTGTGAAAAACAAACACACAAAGCAAACATGAAAATCATACACCATCACAAATAGAGCTGGCAAATATCTATAGTGAAATTAGGTGGGACAAACTGTACACATGTAATGACAATACCTGTTTTTCAGCTTATTTGGAGTAATTGTTAGCAGAAAAAAAAGTGTTTAATGGGTATACTCCTAATGTTGGAATTTCAGAGATTGGAAGGGACCTCAGGAGATCACTGAGTCCACCCTTGCTGCTAAAGCAGGTACCCTACACTAGATTGCACAGGTAGAAGTCCAACTGGGACTTGAATGAAGAACACTACACAACCTCTCAGGGTAATCTGTTCCAATGTTCTATTACCATGAGGAAGTGCTTCTGCCTGTTAGTAAGAAACTTCCTGTCACAGTTTTACGATTTTTGGTTGTCAGTATTCCACATTATAACATCATGTAGTGCACTGGGCATTAAAGTGTTAATGCTCCAGTTCCGGGCACCTGTCCAGAAGAGAAGAACTACATACCCTGGAACACTTTATCTTCAGAGAGGAGATACAACCCTGGCACGGTCACCTTATGTCCCTTTGTTTTTTCAGCTCTCCTCTCTCCTGCTCGACCTGACTGCACATCTCACCTCAGTGTTATGGTGAGGCCTTTCCACCTTTCGGACACTCTCTCTCATTATATTTATTAGTTTCAATTCTAGTTATATTGTATATTGTGTGTTATCTTGCATTCTGATACCATATTTAGTAAATCAGTTTGTTTCTCCTCAGATCATTGCTGCTGTTTTTAATTATTCGGGTTCCCCCGTTTCCCCTTTCCAGAGGCGCAGATCTGTGGGTCCCTCTGCCCCCGCTAGTCACAGAATTGGGCTGAGCCAGCCCGTAAACTGTTGACACTTCCTATGTTCAGGTTTTAGGCCTTTTCTCCTTGTTGTATTGCTGCACACCACTGAGAAGAGCCTGGCTCATCCATTTGGCTCCCACCTTCCTTTTGATACTTACAAACATTTATCACATCCCTTCTTAGTCTTCTTTTCCCCAGGCCAAACAGACCCAGATCAATCAGCCTTTCCTCATATGGGAGATGCTCCAGGCCCTTTATCATCTTTGTGGTCCTTTGCTGGACTCCTAGAACATCTGTCTTTTTTGAACTGGGGAGTCCAGAACTGGACACAGTATTCAAAATGTGGCCTCATGAGGGTAGAGGGGGAGGACAATTTATAAATTGCTGGTCTTCACTGTAGTGATATATATATATATATTTTTCTGGCTTCAGAGCAGGTACGTCTGCACTGGGCAAGGGATCTGGAATAAAAAGGGCCAATAAAAGAGCTCTTTTTAAGGCTTTTTTTGTAGTCAGCAACAGTGCTGTGCTTTTGCTGGGGAGTTGGCAGCTTGTGGGTGGGCTCCTGAGTCAGCAGTAGAGCTAGCTTGTTTAGTGGCACAGTTTAAAGACCCTACGAACTGTCATCCCCTGCCCTTGATGTTCGCACCTGATAATAAGCTTAAAGTAGCACACAGAGCACCCCGGGTGAGTAACATTGTCACTGCCCACTGAAAATGGGGAGGTTCAGTGAGAGAGCACAGCTGCCCATATGGCGCTTGCAGCTTTGGGAGGTGGGTCAAGTGCTGAGGACTAAGTATTGTCCCTCCTTGCTCAGGAGACTGGCTTTTCTCTTGGCAGTCTCTGAGACTGCAGGTCTAAACATGGTCTCCACCAGACAACAGGTAGCTGTTCAAGTCTCCAGCTGCAGGGAGTGCTTGGGGAGGATGGCAGAGATTCCATCTGTGTGAGGTGTGAGCAGTGAATGAGCTGCTCAGCCTGGTGGTGGAACTCGAGGAGGTGGTGCGGACACTAAGGACCATCAGAGAGCGTGAGCAGAAGATGACTGAGTGGTGGAGTGAGTCGCTGGCATGCCAGAGAGAAGGGTGCCAGGGAAACAGCCCCAGAAAGGTAGTTGACCCCCTGCCCTGTCACAGTTGAACAGACTTGATGGATGAGGAGGGGTGGAACAGAATCCCGACTCAGCATCACAGGAGCTTCCCCCTTTCCCCCCTCCGCCTAGCTAGCCCACTTCTCCAGCTACCTCTAAACAGGTTTAGACGCTGGAAATTGAAAGAGGTGAGTGGTGAGGCGATGGAGAATCTGCCTAGGAGGGAGCTTAAGGCAAGATGATCACCTCCCTGTCTTTTGACTGCTCCTGTCAGGAAAGAAAGAAAGGTGGTCATGATGGGCGAATCCCTTCTCAGAGGAATGGACGGCCCTGTATGCAGGCTGGACCCGAGCCATCAGGAAGTGGGTCCTTAGTGGGTCCTTCCTGGTGCCTGGATCAGGGACATAACCAGAAAACTGCCAAAGCTGGTTAAGTCCACTGATTGTTTTCCATTACTCATAGTTCAGGTGGGCAGTGATGAAATTGCTCAGAGAAGCCTACAAACTATGAAAAGAGCTTTCAAGGATTTAGGGTGTTCAGTTCAAAGAGTGGGAGCTCAAGTGATCTTTTGTTCTTTACCTTCAGGAGCAGAGAAGGACATCGAAAGTACAAGCAATGAATAATTGGCTCAGAGGCTGGTGTCAAAGCAAAAACTTTGGGTTCTTTGATCAAGAAGCAGTTTACTCAG